AGGCACATCACTGTCCCAAACAACGTTGGTTTCTGTTAGAGAAGAAGGGGAAGAGGATGTTGAGTGGGTGACTAGTAGGATACTCCATACCTGCATTTCCAACTCTCTTTTGGACAGCTCTCTATATTTCAGGAGGATCTCAAATTTAGTGTGTCATAAGGCGATCTGATTGTTTTCCCTCCAAACTGGTTTCTCTTCCAGTGGTTTCTTACTACAGTGAAATTCACAACCATTGACCCAGTTTACTAAAGTAAGAAGGCTTGACTTCTCCCTATCCCCGTCCAGCCATATCCAATCAGTTATCACCGCTGTGGGCTCTTCAGTCTGTCCACCTCTCTCCTTTTCTCGCTGCCGTTGTCTCTGTCCAGGTCCTCATTGCTTGTACCCTCCCTTATAGCTCTGAGGAAACCCTTGCCCTGTTCGGGTCCCGCTGCCATTCTTTCCACTGCAGCTGCCAGAGGGCTCTTTCTTAAATTCAAAACTATCAAAGCCTTCCTCTGAATCATCACTCAAATTTCAGTGATTTTCCACTACCTGTGGGGAAAAAGTCCAAACTCCTCAATGTGACTGATAAAGCTCTCTGTGACCTGGACCCTACCCATCTCTCTGGCCTTGTTGCCACATCCCACACTCCGGTCACACTAAAATACTTTTTTTTTAAATATTTTATTTATTTATTTGATAGAGAGATAGAGAGCACAAGTAGGCAGAGCGGCAGGCAGAGGGAGAGGGAGAAGCAGGCTCCCTGCGGAGCAGAGAGCCCGATGTGGGGCTCGATCCCAGGACCCTGGGACCGTGACCTGAGCCCAGGGCAGACACTTAACCGACTGAGCCACCCAGGTGCTCCTAAAATACTTTTATTTATTTATTTTTAAAAATATTTTATTTATTTATTTGACAGAGAGAGACAGTGAGAGAGGGAACACAAGCAGGGGGAGTGGGAGAGAGAGAAGCAGGCTTCCCACTGAGGGGAGCCCAATGCAGGGCTCGATCCCAGGACCCTGGGATCATGACCTGAGCCGAAGACAGACACTCAACTGACTGAAGCACCCAGGCATCCTTAAGCAAGCATTTTTACATGCATTCTTTCATTTAATTCTCTCAGTCTAGCAAAGTAAGATCATTATTCCACTTTGCAGACTAAAATACCAAGGCTTAGGGGCACCAGGGTGTCTCAGTTGGTTGGGCATCTGCCTTTGGCTGGGGTCATGATCCCAGAGTCCTGGGCTTGAGCTCCATGTTGGGCTCCTTGCTCAGCAAGGGAGTCTGTTTCTTCCTCTCCCTCTGCCCCTCCCCCTGCTTGTTCTCTCTCTGTCTCTCAAATAAATGGATAAATAAAATTGTTAAAAAAAAATAAAATAAGGATGCCTGGGTGGCTCAGTTGGTTAAGCATCTGCCTTCAGCTCAGGTGATGATCCCAGGGTCCTGGAATCGAGCCCTGCATCGGGCTCTTTGCTCAGCAGGAAGCCTGCTTCTCCCTCTGCCTGCTGCTCTCCCTGCTTGTGCTCCCTCTCTCTGACAAATAAATAAAATCTTTAAAAATAAAATAAAATAAAATACCAAGGCCTAGAGAGGCAAAATAATTCATACAAGTTTAAATTGAGGGCAAATGGAAGAGATGAAACTTGAACTTGGTTAAAAAAAAACTTCTTAAGGCTTTATTAAACATAAATCAAGTTTGGGGGCACCTGGGTGGCTCAGTTGGTTGAGCATGGCTTCAGCTCAGGTCATGATCTCACTGTCCTGGGATCGAGCCCTGTGTTGGGCTCCCTGCTCAGTGCGGACTCTGCCTGTCCCTCTGTACCACCCCACTGCCACTCGTGCACTCTCTCAAATAAATAAATAAAATATTTTTTTTAAAAAAGAGATAAATCAAGTTTGGCAACTGTGTAGAACATGAACATTCATATACTGCTGGTGGGAATGTCAAATGAGAGACCGTCACTCCAGGGAGCAATGTCTGGCAAAGGGGAAGATGTACATACACCACGATTCAGCATGATTCACACACTCCTAGGAACATATCCTAAAAACCCTCATATCTATGTATTAGGAGGCATGTACAAGAGTGTTCATTGCCATGATTATTTATTGAACAGAAGGATGTTTAAATGAAGTGGAGTATAATCGCAAAATGAAATCGTATATAGCAGGTATATTGAATGAATCCCCAAAACATAAGATTGAGGGGAAGAAAAAGGAAGTTTGCAGAACAGTCACAGTAGCATACGGTTCATATAAGGTTTAAACCATACAAAACAAGCCATCTCTTTTTGTGGCTAAATACATATGTACTAGAAGCGTTGAAAACACACATTCAGTTAATAAATTGATAAGCCCCAAATTCAAGATGGCAATGGCCTCTAGGCATAGATAAGAATGGAATTAGGGAGGTTACACACTCAACTGTATACCTCATGCCTCATTTTTTTTTAAAGATTATTTATTTATTTGACAGAGAGAGAGAGAGAACAGCAGGGGGAGCAACAGAAGGAGAGGGAGAAGCAGGCTTCCCACTGAGCAGGGAGCCCAATGCAGGGCTTGATTCCAGGACCCTGAGATCATGACCTGAGCCGAAGGCAGACGCTTAATGGACTGAGCCACCCAGGCGCCCCTTAATGCCTCATTTCTTAAAGAACAAAAGAGCTGAAGCAAATATAGGAAAATACTAAGATGTGTCTAAGCTGGGTAAAGAGTACATAGAGATTAAATACATTATTCTATTTTTGTGTATGCCATATTTTATAATTTTCTTTTTTTTTTTTTAAAGATTTTATTTATTTATTTGACAGAGAGAGAGATAGTGAGAGCAGGAACACAAGCAGAGGGAGTGGGAGAGGGAGAAGCAGACTTCCCGGCGAGCAGGAAGCCCGATGTGGGGCTCGATCCCAGGACCCTGGGATCATGACCTGAGCTGAAGGCAGACGCTTAACGACTGAGCCACCCAGGCGCCCCCATATTTTATAATTTTCTAAAGGCTTCAATAAGAACACGTAGAGCAGGCACTTTGGGCTCCAGCAACATCCTAAATCTTTCGGGTCATTTCACCACCATCCGTGATGACAGCCGCCTCCCCAAGCCTGTTGGCCTTCTGGGGGGCCTCCCCTTACAGGAACCTCGGTCATTGTCACAGGGACTGACACACGCCTGTGGACGCCCTCAGCTCTGAAGTCCCGCAAGCCCTGGGCACTGGCATGACCTGGTCTGTCACTCCCCGCTGGCTGGGATGCCTACCCGCAGGTGCCTCTGAGCATAGAGCCAGAGTAGTAGGGAGGTGCCCCTCCAGGAGCTGGGTCCATCCAGGAACCTCTGCAACTGGACCTCTGCTCTGCCCAGCTCTAGCCCAGCAGGAGAGCTCTCCGCGGGAATCACGCGGACACCAGCGCCTGCCCCGGGCCCAGCAGGCCCTGCCCTGAGCCTGCGGTTCCTGCCTCTGCGTGAGGAGAGTCAGCCCGAGCTGAGCCAGGCGTGCACAGGATTCCTATTCAAAAAAATTCATCTCAGCTTTCTCCTAGTGTTAAGGATTTGTAAACAACCTGAACGCCGTCAGTACCATCAGATCTGTATCATGCACATGAAAGGATGTGGTAGTATGACCTCGTAAGATGCAGATAAGCGGGCGGAGGGGTGGGGTGGGGAAAGCAGGTTACAAAGCAGTATGTGTAAATGTGATCCCATTTTAAGTGCACGCTTAGAAAAAAGTCAGAAGTGAGTATTTATGTAAAGTGGGATTAAGAACTATTTTTTTAATTACTGGCTGTATTTTCTAAATGTTCTACCGTGTTTTAATTGGTTTTTAAAACTGCTATAAGGGTGGGAAAATAATTATTCCTCTATTCTTCTAGGTTCTTGGCTGAGACCCAACCTACAATAAAAAGATAGCTTAACAGGAGAAAAACAAGTCCCCCAAAAGATACGAGATTCAAAAGCAACCACGCAGTTGAGGCTTCTATACCTTTCGAAGCTAAGGACAAGGATAGGGGCCTGGGATTGCAAAAGGGAGAGGCTGAGGAAGGCAATTCACAGAAAGGGGAGAAGAGAGGGTGCCTGGGTGGCTCAGTCATTAAGCATCTGCCTTTGGCTCAGGTCATGATCCCAGGGTCCTGGGATGGAGCCCCACATCGGGCTCCCTACTCCACGGGAAGCCTGCTTCTCCCTCTCCCACTCCCCCTGCTTGTGTTCCCTCTCTCGCTGTCTCTCTGTCAGATAAATAAAATCTCTAAAAAAAAAAAAAAAAAAAAGAAAGGTGAGAAGAGCAAATGTTTGGTAAACAAATGTTTGCCCTACCATGCAGGTAAGTCTCTCAGATGAAAATGTGATCTTAGGTAATAGCTCTCTTCCTGGTTACAAGCCCCTTTTCTCAATTCTTTTAGGCAGTTGCGGGGGGGGGGGCGGGGGGGGGGAGGAGGAGGGCACAGTAAAAAGCTTTTCCTGAGTCTGGGTCTTGATTGCCTTCAGCATAAAATAATCCACTTGCCAAAGTGGCACATTTTGGGTGGCATATTCTACCCCCCAGCCACCTTTGTTAGGTTAAAAAAAAAATTACACAGGTAGAAAAAATACACCAAGTACAAAAAAGTACTCAAAAGTAAATCTTCTTGTCATCTCAGTCCTTAATCCTCCTCCCCCAGAGGAGGACTTTTGTATTCAGAACCAGATTTTATAATCAGAAAAAAGGGACATTTGCAAGGAATGAAGTATTTGTTTCTGGGTTTGTATCTTTCCATTAACAGACTGGGGAGCTTTTTTTTTTTTTTAATTTTATTGTGTTATGTTAGTCACCATACAATACATCATTGGTTTTTGATGTCGTGATCCATGATCCATTGTTTTCATATAACACCCAGTGCTCCATGCAGTACATGCCCCCCTTAATACCCATCACTGGGCTAACCAATCCTCCCTCCCCCCTCCCCTCTAAAACCCTGTTTGTTTCTCAGGTCCATAGTCTCTCATGGTTCATCTCTCCCTCCAATTCCCCCCCCACCATTTTTCCCTTCCTTCTCCTAATGTCCTCCATGCTATTCCTTATGTTCCACAAATAAGTGAAACCATATGATAATTGACTTATTTCACTTAGCATAATCTCCTCCAGTTCCATCCATGTTGATGAAAAAGTTGTGTATTCATCCTTTCTGATGACTGAGTAATATTCCATTGTATATATGGACCACATCTTCTTCATCCATTCGTCTGTTGAAGGGCATCTCAGCTCTTTCCACAGTTTGGCTATTGCGGACATTGCTGCTATGAACATTGGGGTGCATATGGCCCTTCTTTTCAGTACATCTGTGTCTTTGGGGTAAATACCCAGTAGTGCAATTGCTGGGTCATAGGGTAGCTCTATTTTTAAATTTCTGAGGAACCTCCACACTGTTTTCCAAAGTGGCTGTACCAACTCGCATTCCCACCAACAGTGTAAGAGGGTTCCCCTTTCTCCACAACCTCTCCAACATTTGTTGCTTCTTTCCCTGTCCATTTTTGCCATTCTAACTGGTGTAAGGTGGTATCTCAATGTGGTTTTGACTTGAATTTCCCTGATGGCTAATGATGATGAACATTTTTTCATGTGTCTGTTAGCCATTGTATGTCTTCTTTGGAGAAGTGTCTTTTCATATCTTCTGCCCACTTTTTGACTTGATTATTTGTTTTTTGGGTGTTGAGTTTGAGAAGTTCTTTATAGATTTTGGATACCAGCCCTTTATCTGTAGTGTCATTTGCAAATATCTTCTCCCATTCTGTGGGTTGCCTCTTTGTTTTGTTGACTGTTTCTAGAAGAGAACATAGGCAGTAACCTCTTTGACATCGGCCACAGCAACTTCTTTCAAGATACATCTCCAAAAGCTAGTGAAACAAAAGCAAAAATGAACTTTTGGGACTTCATCAAGATAAAAAGCTTCTGGGGAACTTCTTAGGGCAGGGAAAGAAGTCAAGCTTTGCAATCAGACAGGGTTTTGAACCACGGCTCTGTGACTAGTGTAGGCTTGAGCAAGTCACCAAACCTTTCTAATGCTCAGTTTTCTCATCTTCAAAACACAGATAACCACCCATCCCAACGTTCTGTTGTAAAGATAAGGTGAGATCGTGTGTATAAAGCACTTAGTGCACTTAGTGCTTTATACACACGATCTCACCTTATAGATGCCCAGTAACTGCCAGATGTAGTCATTATAGTAATTATTACAGGTGTGAGCCACATGACTTTGTGAGATAGGGAAACTGAAGGACTACATGAAAACCTGCTTTTTGCTCCTTTCCCTGCTTCTGTTCTTGCTAGAACCTGCAATCCCACTTTACACATGCCTCCGAATGCAAATAGTGCATGTCCTACTTGTAAGGGACAAGGAGTTAATGCCTTTTTTAAAACAGATAACATCTAAGGAAGGACTGGGTGAGAATGAGCAGAGGCAGCTATCAATTCGTATCCCAGGCCACCCGAGCTGGGCTAGACAGCTCCACGATCACGCGCCTGGGCTCCAAGGAGTAACACCTGGGCCCCCGTCTTTGTTCTAAGGGGTTCCAATGCCCGAGAGGACAGGTATACCAGACCACAAACCTCAATAAAACCCCTGAGACCCCAACAAAGCCCAGACTCCCTCCTTTCCTTTCTGAGTCTCCCAGACACTCTGTCTGTATCTGCACTCTCTGTCTATACCTACAATAAACTCCGCTCTCACTTCCTGCTAGCTGGCATTTCATTTCCATCCTGTGCACAGCCAGGGATCCTCTTGACCAGTCCTGCGGGGCCCCCTCTGGGTCTTAGGATCTGGCCTGCCCCCATCATTTACACTTAGTTAAGTCTTCAGAAATGGACTGATAGACCATTTGTCTGGCAGGGAATAGTTTCTTAGATTAAAAACAGCTATAAAAAATTTCCCTTGAGGGTGATGTGGATTTCAAGGAACCACAGACTCCTTTGTAGATTGGTAGCTGGTGGGTGGGGGAAAGAGTTCAGTATGGCAGAAGAAGGCTGAAACCATGCTCTGTAGCTAAAGCGGGCCACATCAGGCTATGGGCAAACCCAAACCTATATACTCTTAAAAGTCTCAGAGAAGGCAAGCAACCAACCAGAGGAAAATAAAGAACTGCGCCCCGGAATGAGGAAATTAATATGCATTTGTCCTTTGTGCTGAACCCAGTGTCCTCATCTTCTGTGGGTGAGCAATTCTCTGCATGCAAAGACTAATAGTTTAGGGCACAGAACTTGGAGTATTGGATTATTGTCATAGAGATTCGGGGTGGGGAACAGGCATGGTGGGGCCAGGTAAGGCTCTCATGCTTACTGAGTCCTGACTGCGTGTAAGGCAATTTATACACATTTTTTTTTTAAAGATTTTATTTATTTATTTGACAGAGAGAGACACAGCGAGAGGGGAACACAAGCAGGGGGAGTGGGAGAGGGAGAAGCAGGCTTCACGCCGAGCAGGGAGCCCGATGCGGGGCTCGATCCCAGGATCCTGGGATCGTGACCTGAGCCGAAGGCAGACGCTTAACGACTGAGCCACCCAGGCGCCCCTATACACATTTTTTTTTTTTTATCCTTTGAATCTTCATCACCTTGTGAGGTAGATGTTACTGCTTCATTTGGAGATGAAACACTCAGGATTAGGGAAGCTAATGACTTGATTAAAGTCACACAGTTACTAAGTGATGAAGCTGAAACTCAAACTCAAAGGCTGACTTATACCAAGCCAGCAGCCTTTCCCTCTACACCATACTGACTTGTCAACTGTCATGAAGATTTCTGTAGTGGAAAAGCAAGGGCTCTCGCTTTAGAAAAGTTGGATTCAATTCTGGAGACTTTCTACGTGGACCAGAGTCCATCATTTGATATCTCTGGACCTCGGTCTTCATATTGGCAAAATGGGGATCATGACACCTGTAGCAGTCACTGAGTGGCTGGGCAGATCAAATGGGTCTGACAGCGCTGCTGCTGGAGCTGTGAAAGAGCTATGTGAATATTAGTGCTTATTATTAGGGGCCAGACTTCCAGGAGGTTTCTGAAGGAGACTATGCCCAGGAAGGGACCAGATGCATGGTAGGCCCTCTGCTTGAGCCTGGGGAATGAGATGGAGCGAGTGCCTTGGCTGGCCCAGAACAGGAGGGCTGTGCACAGTATTTGGTGCTTTATAGCAGATCAGTAAACATTAACTGAAATTAATCCAAGCACAGCACGGGAAGTGGTTTGGGTGAAAACGGATTCTTCCATTAAATATTTGTTACTCATTCTGTGCAAGGCCCTGAGCTGAGATCTGGGGAGATAAAGGCGAATAAAACAGGTCCTTTATAACACGAGATAGAGGGGTGCCTGGCTGGCTCAGTCAGTAGAGTGTGAGACTCTTGGTCTTGGGGTTGTGGGTTTGAGTCCCACATTGGGTATAGAGATTATTTAAAAATAAAATCTTAAAAATTTTTTTAAAAAATAACATGAGATAGAAAGTGCTAAATACCACTAGGGAAAACTTCTCTGGGGCTGCTGGGGAAATAGAAATGAAAGAGGGGACTCTTGCTCAAAGAGCTCCCATCTGGGAGAGGCTTATGCTAAATCCCAGGCCAAGCAATCGGGTTCATCAGAGTAGGGAAGAGCTGTGGGTGGTCAGAGGAGGAGGGAAGACTCTTGTCTGGGGGCAAGAGGCTGAGCGATAGGGAAGGTGGGAAGAGGCGGGTGGGACATTAAGGTCCTTGGTTCTTTGTTCTAATTCAGTGGGTGGTCAACATCAATTTGAACAGTGGACAATGGTGGGTTTAAGGGGTGGAGAGGAGGGGACAGGGAGGAATGAGGTTGGGAGGGACTGGTGATGTGCTGGGAAGAATGGGATACGGAGGTGGAGGGAACACGGGTAGGAGTTGTCCGGAGAGGAATTCTTTGCTGAAAGAATGGGTCAGAGGCTGGGTTTTTCTTCTCATAGACCACTTCATGATATGGGGAGATACAATGTATAAAATCTTGCACTTATTAGATTCATACCCTTAGTCATTTAAATTTTCTGAACCTCAAGTACTTTATAAAATGAGGCTAAGTATTTGTACTTCATAGGATTGTTGTAAAGAATGAATTAAACTGGGCTGCCTGGGTGGCTCAGTCGGTTAAGCATCTGCCTTCGACTCAGGTCATCCCACATCGGGCTCCTTGCTCAGCTCTCCTCTGCCTGCTGCTCCCTCTGCTTGTGTTCTCTCTCTGACAAATAAATTTTAAAAATTAAAAAAAAAGGAATGAATTAGACCAATTCCATATCATCTGTGCCCCAGGAGACATATCCAGGAATCTTCCTAGCAACACTATGTGTAATAGAAAACACTGGAAGCATTGTAAGTGTCCCTTAATTCAACAAATACATAAATTATAATGTATTCATAAAACAGATTACTATATAGCCAAGAAAATGAATGAATTAGATTCTACACATCAGGCGTGCCTGGCTGGCTCATTTGGTGGAGGATATGACTCTTGATCTTGGGGTATAAGTTCCAGCCCCATGTTGGGTGTAGAGATACTTAAAATTAAATCTTTAAGGGGCATCTGGGTGGCTCAGTCAGTTAAACCTCTGCCTTCGGCTCAGGTCATGATCCCAGGGTCCTGGGATTGAGCCCCGCATTGGGCTCCCTGCTCAGTGGGGAGCTTGCTTCTCCCTCTCCCTCTGCCACTCCTCCTGCTTGTGCTCTCTCTCTCTCTCTGTCAAATAAATAAATAAAATCTTTAGAAATAAATAAAATAAAATCTTAAAAAAAAGAATTCTATACATCAACAAGAATGAATCTCAGGAATATAACATTGAATGAAAAAATAAGTTACAGAAAAATATATATACTCTAATTCCTTTTATTTAAAGTTCAAAAACACACAAACTAAGAAAATACTCTTTGAGGATACAAATATGTAACTATAAAGAAAAGTGAGGGAGAAAGGCAGAAAATGTAGGAGTGTGATTATCTCTGGAGTGAGATGGAAGTTGACGGGATGTGGGAGGGGCACTAGAGTTTCCAAGGTAACAGTAATATTCATTTTTAAAAATTTGTTTATTTTACAGAGAGAGAAAGAGAGAGAGTGTGTTCACATGCAGGGGAGGGGCAGAGGGAGAGAGAATCTCAAGCAAACTCCCCACTGAGTGTGGAGCCCGATGCAGGGCTCGATCTCATGACCCTGAGATCATGAGCCAAAATCAAGAGTTGGACACTCAACTGACTGGCCCCAATAATATTCATTTTTAAAAACTGGTTTTGGGTGCAGGAGTTTTGTTGTATCATTGTTTTTTACACCTTATGCATATTTGTATAAGTATTCTTTTTTACATACTTAATACAAACAATTAAAAAAAACCCTGTCCCATCTAATACCAACTGCTATAAATTACACAATAGTGTAATAATAGGGCGCCTGGGTGGTTCAGTCAGCTAAGGGTTTGACTCTTGATTTCCACTCAGGTCATGATCTCAGGGTCCTGAGATCAAGCCCTGTGTGGGCTCTGTGCTGAGCATGGAGCCTGCTTAAGATTCTCGTTCTTGCTCTCCCTCTCCCTCTGCAACAGCCCCCACCTGTGCCCCCCTGCTCGCACGCATGTGCGCTTTCTCTCTTAAAAAAAAAATAAGTAGGGCGCCTGGGTGGCTCAGTTGGTTAAGCGACTGCCTTCGGCTCAGGTCATGATCCTGGAGTCCCGGGATCGAGTCCCGCATCGAGATCCCTGCTCGGCAGGGAGTCTGCTTCTCCCTCTGACCCTCCCCGCTCTCATGTACTCGCTCTCTCTCATTCTCTCTCTCTCAAATAAATAAATAAAATCTTAAAAAAAAATAAGTAAATAAAATAAAAGGAAACAAACAAATTTAGGAATTAGCTTTGAATGATTCGGCTTATTATGAATTAGCTTCTGGCTTATTAGCCTTTTGGCAAAGTGATGGTTTGAGGAATTATTCACTTGGACAGCTGGCTTTCTGTGATGTGCTTGTTGGAAAATGGGCCTGGAATCTGGTGTTGAGTAAGATCGGGGCTGTTAGAAGGAAGCAAGGTGGCCAAGGCTGGAGGAGCCTAGAGGAGGAGGGGAGGTTTGTGGGAGGCCTGGCTGAGTCCTGAAGAATGAGTAAGCGCTAACCAGTTCTGTCAACTCTCCTCCTTAATAGCCCCCAGAAATGCCCACTTCTCCCCACCCACACAGCCAGCCCCCAGGTCCAGACTCCTGGCATCTGGCCCCTGGTCCCCTACTGTGGAGGCCTCCTGATGGGTGTCCTGGCATCCACTCTGACCCCCCTCGATGCACCACACCAGAGCCAGAGGAAATTTCGCATATATAACTCTGATTTATTTTCCCTGCTTGACACCATTCAATGGCTTTCCATGGCTCATAGGATAATAATCACAATTAACCTCATTGCTTATTGGGACAATGAGAGGAGGTAACGCACGGGAAGCATCTAGAAGAGTGCCTGGCCCACAGTGAGTGCCACACCCATGTTAGTTTAGCTCTTACTATAGCGACGAGGCTGTGCTCCTCCCCGTACCTCCACCTTGCACAACGTGTCCCGTTTCACCTGGGATCTTTCCCCTGATCTCCAGGTACCCTCCACCTGTCTTCCTGCCATTCTTAGAATGCACCATGTTCCTTCTTCCTTCAGGAACTAGCTCTTTGGGACTTAGCCATGTGGTGACTTACTTGTTCCGAGAAGTGTCTTGAAACATGCTGCCCGCTTCCACAGACAAGGTGCTCCTCCAGGGCGGGGACAGGCTAATTTGTCTCCCCGTCCTCAGTGCCAAGCACAAAGTGAGCATCAGCAAGCTTTGCTAAAGAAAAGAATGGACACGACGAACCGTGAGAGACGATGGACTCTGAAAAACAAACAGGGTTCTAGAGGGGAGGGGGATGGGAGGATGGGTTAGCCTGGTGGTGGGTATTGAGGAGGGCACATTCTGCATGGAGCACTGGGTGTTATGCACAAACAATGAATCATGGAACACTTCATCTAAAACTAATGACGTAATGTATGAGGATTGACATAAGAATAAAAAATAAATAAGAAAAAAAAAAAAAAAGAAAAGAAAAGAATGGACACACCGAGGCTCTGAACAGTGGAAGCCAGAGCCTGAGCTTACTTATTTCCTGCCACCCTCGTGGTGGCAAAGCTGATTTCGCACTATGTGGGCTGCTGTGTGACCTGGTCACTGGCCCAGCATTCTGGGGGCTGCAGGGGGAGTTTCCTGAGGACTTGGCCCCTGGGAACCACTCAGCCAAAGCCTGAGCAGGAGTCCCAGGACAGCCAAAGCGAAAGCATCTTTTCGTTAGTGATTGGCAAGATTGCAAAATAAGAGGCAAGAGACCGTGTCAGCCTTGGTTAGATCTTGGAAGTTGTCCTGCTCCGTTCCGCGCTTGCCTTCCTCAGTCTTCAGAAAGGGACTGACAGACCATTTGGGCCCACGATGCAGGTCGTTCATGGGTCTGCCCCATGTGTGAGCCCCGAGTGAGCACTCAGTGAAGAGGGGGACTAAGAGACGAGAGCCAGGAGCTGCTTGGAGCTCAGCGCTCCAGGGTAGGAAACAGGGCAGGTAGGAGCACCATTCACATCCACACGGGGTGCCGGCTGCACCCACAGGGATCCGACCAATCTGGTGCACAGAGAATGCCCAATGTTTCTAGGGCAAATGTATGGCAGTGGGGGGGGGGGGGGGCTCACGTGTCAGCCATCTCCTCCTGCACAGACGACGCTTTCAGCAGAACTGGGTTTGGAGGCATGGGCAGCTGTTTATCATGTGACGGGGACAGGGAGGGCAGGCGTGGCGTCATTTGAAGAAGAGGGAACAGCATATGCTAAGACACAGAGGCCTAAAGCAGCACAGGGCTACTGTGGTATTATAAGCAGGTCTGGAGGAGTATAAGGGAGTGTGGAGGGCAGAAGGGGGCGTGGGGGAGCAAAAGACCAGGCTGAAGAGGAAGGCAGCTTTATGCCATGGCAGTGGGGAGCCAATAAAAGGTTTCCAGGAGGGGAAAGGCATGATGAGATTTTCGTTTTAGCAAGGTCATGCCGGTAGTCTGTGTGGGGCTTAGAAGGAAAGAAGGGAGACAGCTAGGAGGCTGTCATATCAGTCCCAGTGAGAGACGACTCGGTCTGACTTAGGGCTGAGCGCAGGAGACTGATTTAAGACACCTTTGCTCACTAGAACAGACAAGACTAGGTGACTCATCTGTCAAGTATGTATGCTCCTTAATGTTTAAGAAAACTGTTCAATACAGCAGGAGGGTCAAGCCCTTGCCAGAGTGAGGAGGTCAGTAGGTGGTCTTCAGCATAACCACCATGAGAGATGATGATGCTCTGGACAACTTTTCTAGAAAAAAGTGAATCCCCGGGGACAGATATGTGAAATATTGCCAAGGCAGCCTACGTAAGTAAGAGTCCACAAGTATTTATTGTCTGTTCGCTGTTTTTGTCTGTTTGCTGTTTATTGTCTACAGGGCCGGGCTGTGTGCTAGGCCCCGAGGGTGTGGGCAGCTTCAGGCCCATTTAACAAGGATCCCAAGGCTGGGGGGGGTGGGGGGGAAGAAAGGAAACAGTTGTTGCCTTTTGAGTAGGTACCAGGTCCTGTGCCAGAAACTTGATATACATAATCTCACTTAATCTCAAAGCTATCTTCCAATGGGGGAAGTAAGATGATCTTCCTTTTTTCAGATTTGGAAACAGATTCTGAAGGGTGAAGTGACTTGCCCAAGTTCATGCCAACTAATTAGGGGAACCCTCCAAAGACACGGCTTTGACTCCAATACCAGGAGTTGCCATGGAAGCCATCTAGACCTTTCTTGCATTCATTTTCCCCACTACATATGTAGATATCAGTAATAATATCAGTGACTGGGGCGCCTGGGTGGCTCAGTTGGTTAAGCAACTGCCTTCGGCTCAGGTCATGATCCTGGAGTCCCGGGATCGAGTCCCGCATCGGGCTCCCTGCTCGGCAGGGAGTCTGCTTCTCCCTCTGACCTTCCTCCTTCTCATGCTCTCTGTCTCTCATTCTCTCTGTCTCAAATAAATAAATAAAATCTTAAAAAAAAAAATAATATCAGTGACTAGCAGTCAGGAGGTACCAAGAATTGTTCCAGGCACTTCATATATCCTGACTAATTTAATACTCGCAACCACCCTGTGAGTTAGATGCTATTAATATCTGCATTATATAAACAAGGAAACTGAGACACAAAGGGGCTAATAACTATCCAAGGAGATCTCGTGGTGGAAAAATTATAGGGTTTGCCAAAGATACAGATGTAGTGAAAAGAAGGGCCACATGCACCCCAATGTTCATAGCAGCAATGTCCACAATAGCCAAACTATGGAAAGAGCCCAGATGTCCATTGACAGATGAATGGATAAAGAAGATGTGGCGTATATATACAATGGAATACTATTCAGCCATCAAAAAAATGAAATCTTGTCATTTGCAAGATTTGTAAGTGGAAAAGACAGGTTTTCAACCTGGGCAGTCTGGTTCAACACCCATGCTCTTAACCAATGTGTTGTACCTGAGGGATAACCAGACAACTCTGCAGGGCATAAAGCAAATCACCTAGTGTGCTTGCTTGCACGATTTTATATCTATGCATGTTTATTCCTTCAGCAGTTATTGAGGGTTTTTTTTTTTTTTTTTTAACATTCCAGAGCCTATGTTCAGCACACCAAGGCTCCCGGGATATCCAACAAGAGCCTGCCCTCACGTCTGGTGGGGACATAGAAATGAACAGTTACATCGAGGTACAGGGAAACCATCAGAGAGTTTGAGCAGAGGTCTGACATGATCTAAACTAAGTTTTAACGTGCTCATTCTGCCTGCGGTGTAGACAATAAACCTTAGGAGGGTAAGGGTGGGAGTCAGAAGACCAGTGAAGGTTGGTGCAGTTGATCAGGACAGAGATGTGACTGGCCTGGGCAGTTGCATTACAGTTAGGGTGTCACTGGATTGGCCAAGAGCTCTGTTTCAACACCCTGGGGAGTAGGGAGACTATGGCCTTCTACTAACCCTTGGTTCCACCACCTGCTGACTTTGTTGGGTCTCCGGACAGGTCTTTTCAGCTGGACCAATGTGAGATGCTTGGGTCAGAGTGTCTCTAAGGTCGAATATCATGAGCCTGTTTACCTTCTGCTGGTGATTTTGCCTAGCCGTGTAAACTCTGTACCATGGCCTCATGGCGCCATCTCCCACCTTTCGTTTCTGCCACTTTCCCAATTGTTGATCTCCTCCAGCCACACTGGCTTCCTTTTTCTTCCTCAGATAGTCAAGCTTGTCCCTACCTCAGTGCCTTTTCACTTGCTGTTCCCTCAGCTTAGGAAGCACTTTCCCTTGATAATCACATGGCTGGTCCTTCTCAACCTGATCTCAGCTCAAATGTCATCTGCTCAGAGAGGCCATTTTCTAACCACCTTGACTTAGGTAGACCTGCAATCTGCCATATCGTTTCTCCTAGTTTACATTTCTCCTAGAATTTACAATAAACTGAAATCATCTTATTTAGCATCTTTATTGGGTCTTCCCAATACAATGTCAGTTCCATGAGAGCAGAGACCTCATCTGTCTTTGTTCATGACGCTTACCCAATGCTTTGAACAGTGTGTGGTCCATACATAGACATGCGATAAATATCTGTTGAACAAATGAGTGAATGAATGGATGGAGGGATGAGTGAGCCATCTTTCAGCTTTTTCTAACATATAAGCTAGAACAGGACATTATCCATTTTCAGAGTCAGAATCCCTTTTTCATTTATTTATTTTTTATTTTTATTTTTTTAAAGATTTTATTTATTTATTTGTGTGTGAGAGAGAGCAAAAGTAGGGGGGAGCGGCAAGCAGAGGGAGAAGCAGGCTCCCCACTGACCAAAGAGTCTGATGCGGGACTCGATCCCAGGACCCCAGGATCATGACCTAAGCCGAAGGCAGATGTTCAACCGACTGAGCCACCCAGGTGTCCCTCCCTTTTTCATTTAAAGATTAAAAGCCCAGATCTAAGGGAGGGGATGAATATACATTCTCAGGAATTATTATTTTTTTAAGTCATGGACTCACAGACTGTTCAGGTTGGGTGGGAACCGTCTTAATCTTTAGTCAGGCAGACCTGGGTTCCAATTCCAGCTCTGTTCCTCGCTGGCTCCACAAGCACATATAAGTCACTTAAACTTAACGTCTTTTTTTTTTTGGGAGAGAGAGAGAGCATGAGCCGGGGGTGGGGGGGTGCAGAGGGAGAGAGAGAGAATCTTAAGCAGATTCCTTGCTGAGCATGGAGCATGGAGCCTGTTGCGGGGCTCCATCTCATGACCCTGGTATCATGACCTGAGTCAAAATTAAGAGTCCGACACTTAACCGACTGAGCCACCCAGGTGCCCCTACGTCACTTAACCTCTTGAGCCTCCATTTCTGCAGCTATAAAATGGGGATAATAATGCCTACCTTGGAGGAGGCATTAAATTAGATATTAGATACAAAGTGCCTGGGACATCGTTGGTCCCATCAGTAAAGGTTACTTCCTCTTCTCTCTGAGGAGGCACCACATAGGTCCTGCAACACATGTCAAACAAATGGTGGGACCTACTCCAAGGCCTCCTGCAGATGAGGAAACTGGAGCCCAAAGAGGCAAAGTGGCCCTCCGGGTCCCAGAGCATGTGAATGTCAGAGTGTGGCTTGGAGCATGGCTTAATTCACAGCCCCGGACTTTTTATCCTCCCTATGCTCTCCTGCTTCGGTTTTCTCCACTGTTCTGCGCAGCGTTCTGGTCCCATCCTGGGTTTTGTATGCATCCGCACAGCGCCT